CCCCCCCCCCTGCCATTCGCTGCGGCTGCCCCTGCTCTGCTCGGTGACTGCTCATGCAGTGGGACAGCAGCTGGGTGCTGGACCTCGGGGGTGTCGCTCTGTGCCCTCAGCCCTTTGTCTCACTGACCACAAACTCCTGTATATAAAGTATTTGATCCATTTACAGGATCATCCCAGTAGATGGGTTTGAAATATTCTGTATTTTGTATTATTATTTTATCCTGTTGTTAATGGAACAATATAGAGAAGGAGAATTAACCCTCAAAACCCCTGACTCCAATAAACCAGCGCTCACAGAGGGGTTCTCACCAAGGAGATGGGCAGGAGGGGTAGATAAAGATCAGTGTGCGAGTAGCCTCACGGACATGGGCAGTTGTCAAAGAGTTCCCGCTGCTTCTGAAGCCATAAGGCGCGTCAGTCATCCGAGGAGCTTTTGAAAAACATCAGCGTCGGGGCCTCCCACCAGGATTCTGAGTTAAGGTTGGCTGCGCAGCCAGGGTTGAGGGCCACTGGCAAAGCTCGTGTTTTCCACATTTAAAACTTCCCAAGTGGAGATTCAAATGACTTCCTTTCCGTATAAGTTAATGATATAAATATTGCTACAGTCTTTACTAATGTGACGTATCTGTGGTTGTGTGACAGTTATCTACTGCTGCGTGATAAATGACCATGGGGCCCACCTTACTATCTTACAGTGTTTGTGGGTCAAGGGTTTGAGCACAGCCCATTCAGGTCCTCTGTTAGGTCTCATTGACTGCAAGCCAGTGTCAACTAGGGCTGGAGTCTCACGTGCGGCATCCACTGGGGAAGGAGCCCCTTGGTGGGCATGGTCTGGCAGCGTTTGGATTGTTGCGACAGGCCTTCTGGTGTTGGACTGGCTGCTCCAGATGCTGCCTTTTGGTCCTTGGCCTGCGGGGTTCCTAAGCATGGCTGCTTGCCTCCTCACAGCCACAGGGAAGGAAGGATAGCTCATCCGCTGCCTGCAAGGCAGTTGCTACACTGTTCTGTAAGAGAAACTCATAGTTATATGCACATTGTCAGGTGCAGCCTGTCACCAAGTCCTGTTGTCACCCACACCCCAGCAAAAGGAAGGTATCACACCAGGCCGTATCCCCAGGAGGTAGTAATCACACCATCATTCAACAGACTGTTGGCCTCCTAGGGATTGCTGACATGTAAGGGGACTTCGGAAAGTTCGTAGAGGGCCAACTCATGGTGTGGTGGTTAAGGCAGCTGGATCCCACATAGTCATCTGTGTGGCTCAAACCCCAGACCCTGTGGCTGAAGAAACACACCCCAGGTACATGTGCATGCCTAAAATCCTGAAAGGAAGGAGAAATGGAGGAGAAGGGATTGCAGAGTGACCATTCACCATGGGGGTGCTTTTTCACTTCCCCTCTCTGTCTCATTTCTGTCTCTCTCTCTCTGACAAATAAAAAGTTTCATTTCTGTCTCTCTCTCTCTGACAAATAAATAAAAAGTTAAAAAAAAAAAGCTTAGAAAAATGTATGAGTTTAATTTGGTCCAAAAGAATTTGAAACCCATGCATAGTTTTTTTTTTGTTTGTTTTTTTATAATACACATTTTCCATGAATGTTTTCAAGATCACTCATATGTATCATGTGCAGCAGTACATCAGCATCCGAGTAAAATTTTCATTAAGTTACTTATACAATAATAGCTACTCTCTGAGGGGCTATGTACCCCAGAGTTATTTTAATAATTATTTATTTAATTTTATTATTGTTATTTTTTGCTATAGGGCATATGCCCACCTGTGAAATATGAGGGAGAAAGAGAGCAAGCCACAGGTCTGGGACTTGTAGCCACAGGTCTGGGACTTGTACCATGGTCAACCATGTGGGAGTCTAGTGCCTTAATCACCATGCCCCCATAGTTTTATTTATTTTTATTTTTATTTTATTTTTTTAAATTTTTATTTTCTTTTTTTTTAATACATTCAATTACATTATTTAGCTTACAAGGTGATCATTTCAATATATGAACATTTCTCCCTGGTCGAGTTGATCAAAATATAGCAACACTACCTCCCTGTCTCAACAAGGTTGTCTTCGTATCCCTCCCCCAAATGTTCTTCCCCAGGCCCCACTCCTCCACACACCACATCTGGCATTCACATCCACCTCTTCTGTTTGTACATCTTTTAGCCCGTCAGTTTCAGTTATAGAGTGTGGACATTCGGTATATATTAAGTGGGAACATACAGTGTCTCTCCTTCATAGCCTGGCTTGCTTCACTTAGCAGTAAATCTTCCATATTCTTCCACTTTCTGTCAAAAGTCAGGGTTTTGTTGTTCTTAATGGCTGAATAGTATTCCATAGAGTATATGTGCTGTGTTTTTTAATCCATTCATCCGTACAGGGGCATTCGGGTTGATTCCATGACTTAGCATTCGTGAAAAGTGCCGCAATAAACATCGATGTGCAAGCACTTTTCCAATGAGAAATTCTTCTGTCCTTTGGGTAGATGCCAAGAAGTGGGATTGCTAGATGATATGGCAGTTCTATTTGTAAATTTTTGAGGAATCTCCAAATTGTTCTCCACAGTGGCTGGACTAATTTACATTCCCACCA